TGGTACCGTTATCGCGAGTGCGCGAGCTCAATATCAGAAATTCGTTGCGCCGCCCTTGGGGGCAAAAAACAGTGAAAGCTAACGTACGAAACCAGAGGGCAGCACAGGATGCGATCGCACGATCCCTTCCGTGAGCAATCTCCCAACTCATCTCTGATTGATATTGGACTAATTGACAGATTTCGGAAATTAAGGCAATTTGTAGTATTATTAAATATGGTTATTATTAGGTCAGTGTTTTCAGAACATATGAATAATACTTTTTTCTGTATTACATTGACGTAAAATTATTGTACCAACAGTAACCTTCCTTAATTGAGATTATATTTTTAGATTTGCTGTTAAAAGTGTAGTTGCCGGTGGTATTACATATTATACTGTCCAACAAAGCCTTTGGTCAGAGTCTGAACATAGCGTGAAGTTATATGGAAAGTTATATAATACAGTTGCACCTTATGTAGAAAAGAATATCCCGAAGGAAGTTGTCAGAGAGGTATGAATTGTAACAACTTTATTTAATCTGTAAAGATGAATATTCCCAGCTAACACAGATTGATAATATTGATATAGTAATGACAACACAAAATAATCTGTTATGTAAAAATACCATCACTAGTGATGCATCAGTGATATGTTTCCCCTTTCAGAAGGTCCTAGGGTGCAATCGAATTAGAGTGAAAATTATTTAACGTGACCTAACATTTACGTAATAATTGAGTTTCTTGTTACAGAATGGTTCTGTCACTTATAGTACAGAAATTCTTGCCCCATATTACATATTACATATGTAACACATAATTCGCATTCTAATACAGTCTTGGTAACAAATGTGATGCATATCTTCTTACAAAAATGTTGTGTAACATTTATATTTTGTTTAAGCACAATTTTGTGTCATCTGGATATTATTGTTACTGAAATGAAATATTACTTTTATGTCATTGTTATACACTAACGTTATATTTTTTACAACCCAAAAATTATATAAATGTTACATTCTGTGTTTGATGGGTTCCTTCTTTATACCATGCAGTGGTAGATGTTTTGTATTAATATAATATAAAAATTTTCAAGATCATGTAATTGTTTCATTCAATATTAACTTGTTTCTTTTATCCTCAGCTACCTCAATTACCGAGCACGTCAGATATCACAAGTTCCATTAAATCTTTGTGGAATAGGGGTGTGATAAATACCATGAAATTTATTTCACAGTTGCCAATGCACGTATCAAATGGCATCGATGCATTGTTATCTCAACCAGCTATAAAAGATGCCCTTACAAATATTCAGTCATCTAGTGCAAAACCGACAAAGACTGGGTCTCAATGATTCGACATCGCAGATCTATGTTAAAGTAAAATTTAGATTTAGATTAATTATTTTCCGTTTTTAGTTGAACGATAACATTAAAAAACGAGACTAACAAGTGAACATACAATTTCGCAGTTAATGCGCGAATCAGTGATTTCTCCTTCACCTAACCAAGAAACGAAAGAGAAACGGTAGTGACCTCTGTATAAGTATTCTACTGAAACGACTAATAGAGTATGGCATTTCGTGCAGTCCTCAATGTAATTCGACCAAGCTGTCAATATAAATATGAACGTCGATAATCTAGGTATTTAGAAGAATCGTTTTCGTATTTTGCTTCTCCTTAATTGTGGGTTTCAATTTATAGCCATATGATAGATACTGCCACATCACGATAATCCACGCTAAGTATGGAGTGAGTAAAACTTATCAATACTACACTAAAGACTATCGATAAAAACAAAAAAGCAAGCAGAAATTTTTACTACTAACTCGACAGATAAATTGAGCGAAAAAAAAATGTAAACATTCAAGGCTTTATTGTAGATGAAATTATTATCGTTTAATACCATTCGCTAACAGGTAGAGCCAAGTATCATCAGAGAAAGAAAAAGCGTTGTAGTTTATACAACGAAGTCTAGATGGCAGGCACAAATCTCTCATTCATACGAATATAATATCGATATAACATGGTTTTATACACAACTATACACAAATGCATTGGCATCAGTGTATATTTTCTGTATCGATAGTTTCCATGGTAACAAAACAACTTTCTGTATTCTTATATTCGCCTTGTAGAGCTCGTACAACAATTGAGGTCCAGTTAAATTATTAGAAGGTGCGTATAATATTAGATTTCAGACAACGTCGAAATATTAAGCATGAGGCATTAATTTAACAAGATATTTAATTCGAAGTGTGATTATAATTTATAGTTAGTATATAGTTATCTCCTTATAAGGAGATAACACCGTGAATCGAAATCGACCTCTCATTAGAAGTCCAAGATCGTTCGAATCGAAGTCCCATTTCTATATTTTCTAACCATTGTAATTACGGAATAAGAACGAAGATTGATCATAGAGATCCTGTAAAATTGTAGGGGTAAAAAAGGTGACGCGAGGAATCCCCGCGGACCAAATCAGAATAGTCGAATGCTCTCCCCGAAACGCGGGGAATGCAATTTCGATGATTTTCCGCCAACGGAATAATGAAATTGGATTTCCGTAGACTTTCGCACGACCGAGGCGCGTGCTGGGGAGGGTGAATTTTCAGAAGGTAAGGCAACGCTGCCGGCAGCTCGTATGGGATCAAAGACGCCCCTTCTCGTGACATATTAGACAGGGATTGACTGCGACGTCCCACGAGCAATTCTGCACCTTGCAAACTTCATCAGTTTACCTATGGGACCCGATTTGGTTTTCCTCCTCGCTAAAGACAATCAACGAACCGCTCCATATTATCTGGCTTGTAGATGTATCATCGAGCTGGTCGGCTCTCCCTTCTAAATCGAAAAGATAAGTCTCTAATCAGATAATGACCGTATTATATTCTGACATCAAGAAGATAAAACTACAATATTGTATGAAATGAGTGCTCAAATTAGAATCATATTGAGAGTGGAAAAGAGACTCAAGGGCCGTGAAGGGCTATATATGTATTGTTTACTAGTTCTGTATTGAAAGGATATATTGTTAGCAAGAAGAGAATAGCATGAACGAGTTTTTCTTTTATGAGAGGAAAACAGGGAGACATTTAACGCATCCGAGAGCGCGTTGTCGTGAACGATTAATTTCACACGGTATATGTTAAAAAGGTAAAGAAATCTAAAAATATTAATATTACATTAAATATGCCATTCTTAAAAACAAAATACGGTCGCACAAGTGTGCAGTAGTAGGCACACGCGTAAGGGTTAAAATGGCAAATTTCTGTAGAATTTCCACGAATTCACGGGAGTTATCGTGAAATGAATTTTCTAGCCCTTCAAATCTTCCAAGTATTAAAAAGCTCACCACATTGTCCAGCGTCTAGTCCAAACTACCTAAGCTAAGGCCTCGGATGATCCCTTTTCAATGACTCGACTCTCTTTTCGGAGTGTTGCCCCAGCTTTCGCTACAGATGCCTGCCGGTAAACGCATTCGATATTGCCTCTGCTTGATCTCCGCCTTTTCACCCTAAAGAAAAAAAAAGGTGGCAAATCGACAGTCGGATCGCAAAATCGAGCCCCGGGAAGGGTGTAGATACAGAGGCGGGATCGACTTGGCGATCCATGGACTCCGCAGTCATAGATCATCCCTATTGTGCCACACAGGGAGGAGTGTGTGCGCATCGGCGCATTGTACCCGGTGCATTACGACTGCCCGGTGTGTACATACTTCGGGGACAGCAGGACACAGGACGTGTGGTGTTTGGTCTCCATTAATATCGGATCGACTGGATGGTTACTGCAGAGCGGACCTCTTGTATCTCTTTTTTATGGGGCCATATGTCTTCTGCGCTCCGTGTCCCCGAGCTGGCTCGCTCATTTGTCAGCCCGCAATCTGCCACTGTTGCGATTTGATGGACGCGGTCAAAACACGCGAATGGCGTTCGGCTGCTTTTTTATTCCTTCGGCATTTCCCTTTTTCCTTTTAAACTCCGACAAATTGGACAATGTGCACCCTGGCGGGGGTGAGTGATTTTGCTTTAAATTGTTGTGGAACAAATCAAGTCGTAGAAGTGTATCCAAATCGAGATTTCGGTTGTGAAATCAAAGTCGTCCGATGCTTGGATATTACGGGGGGCTGCAAAAAAGGCTAAAGGGCCCCTCTGGGGTCATTTAAATGATCCGTCGTCGCCCACTGTGTCGACGGAGGGTGCATGATAGAAGTCACCCTCCGCATCTGTCTTATATGAGTCTTCGCACCATGAACTTTATTTGCAAATCTCATCGGTGTGAAATTCTATTGCCCTTTTTCGTTGCGCAAACGAGAGTCTTGAATATCAAAATCGTTTTGGACGACTTACGGCCGTTGACGCCACGAAGAAAAAAAAAAATGTCGTCCAATTATTGCTGTCGAAGTTTACAGCGAAGTCTGCGCATTAAAATGGTATACAAAGTGAGCACAAAGGAAACCCAACTTTATTTGAGAACAAAACGTGAAACCTTAAACCGCAATGATCTTCTAAACAACCTGATAGGCTAGTCAACAGACTTTGCGATAATCTTCCAAAGATTAATAGAAATATATTAATGAATACATCACATGCTAAATAGCGTAGCCCAAGTTCAGTGCACAATTTGTTAAGAATTTTTCTCTATAAAGACTCGTGAAGGAGCGCCGGATAGCAGAGAAACCTTTTTTGTCTTACAACCGGTAAATTTTCTGTCAATGCCTGCTAACTGGGTTTTTTATCAATACCCTTACTTGGGGCGGTATAAAGTCGGCCGTATTGTGCGGCCTCAATGGACGGTCGACGGGATGGCGATGATCGCGTCACATTACCGTCCTATGAGCGAATGCTACCCACCGAGGGGTCGCCAGGGGTACATCAGGGGTACACCAGGGGTATCCGTGGGCTCGGGACCCCATAGCACATTAGGGGGTGATCGGCCACCCCTCGCAGCTTGGGTGTAAAATAAACGATACCTAATTATACGCGTCCCGTCTGCGTGAACCCAAAAGGGCGAGCAAGTGCGTGCAAAGGCGCCTCCCGCTAAATGGGATTACGAAATTGCTCTTTAGATTGATCGCGCGCATTATCGTCCTGAAAGTCGATAGAAAATCGTCGGCCAGAATTTTTGCGAAAATTTAGTCAGATTTTTTATACCTCCACGAATGCACCGAAAAAACAAAATTAAAAAAGAAAACAAAAACTCGCGATGCACCCTGGCGGACTGCGTGCAGAATTTTTGGGAAACTCCCTATGAACGTTTTAAACGCTAGATTTACCAAATAAGTATTTTCGATCAGTTTTGGATTAAAAACGAAGTTATACCATCACTGTCCGTCAATGTATTGTTTATCACTTCGAACTATATTAAAAATGACAAAAGAAAGAATATACCTGTTAACCCTAAGGTTACGGATATACGTATAATATAGGTTATTTTTGTTATCTAAAATACGTTAAATATAGGCCCGGTAAATCTAAAATGTTCAATCTGGGAACGGTGGTACGAAATATTGTTAGGTTTGAAATATTCTTTAGAAATGTCGCCGGAAAAGTTACCGTTTTGCGGCGTTCCCGTTGCAGAGAGGGTGGCTCTGGGAGGGTTTCCCGAGCGATGATTAATTAGCGTTTGATGAATATGTATGAGAGCACGGGGCGGAAACTGAGGCAGAGAGAAAGAGGGGGAGGCAGCCGCCTCCGGTATCTGTATTCCGTATAAATATACTTGGTATAATGAAACTCCTCCCTTCGTCCTCTGGGTCCGAACATCCTGGCCCACTCCATCCAACTCTCCGCACTTTCAGTCCTCGTCGTGTAATGTTTAACAATGTTTTTCAAGTAAAACTGTATCGATTCCAACGGTTTTCGAAAAAGAGCCGTCATACCGTGACCCCGTTTAAAACATTAAAAATTCATTCCCATTCTGTCACCTCCCCTATCAATGCCCGAATTTCAAAGAAATGCCTAAATTGATTCGATCGGAAATTCTCGATGAATTTTACCATTTTTCTATTCACGCGCAAGGGTTAACCCTAGAACTTATGGCATTCACCTCCTTTTATCCATAAAATGAAATGTATGGCCATTGCATCTTATTTCAGCAACGCTAAACATATCGATTTCATCGTCTACCTAATTTATTATCCGTATTTACTGATTGGTCACGAATCGTTCGCGGGGCGTAATTATGCGGGAAATTCACGAAAAGGGTGGAACGACCGCATTGTTTCTGCGCGAAGCGATCCCCTCGTGTGGTCTACGGCCAAACAAAATGTCGGGAAGGAGGGCGAGATGAAAAAGAGGACTAGCGGAGGGAGAGGGCTTAGATTTCGGCAGAGTTGAAAGGCTGCCGGATTGTTCGCGCGAGGTGAACAATGCGAACAATGGCCGGTGGGCGGCGGCGGTGAGCCCGAGCTTACGCGCGAATACAATTACATTATGAACTCGATTACCATTTAAATGGAAACAAACGTGAAATGCTAAAATACTCTAACCGCTCCCTCCGCCCCGGTCCGTCCTGACCACCCGGTCCAGGAAACGCGAAATGTCGCGTTCGCTCCTCGCTCCTCGATCATCGGTATTCAAACAATGCCGCCTCCATTATTTCGGGGAATATAAGAGGATCGAACGCGAAACGCGGCGCTGTTGAATATGGAAAAAGGAGAAAGCAGGCCCTGCCGATTAAATAAATCGCCGGAATGAGGTTCGCACGTGGCGACGTTCACTTGGGGGTGTTTTTTCGATTAAGGGAACCATTCGGCGCGTGGGTTGCGGTTTTTCGATTAACGAGATTTCCTTGATCACCGAAGTGATATTTAAGTTCGCGGTGGATGTCGGTGAGTCGTTTGGAAAATTCTCGGAGAAACGGTCAAAGTGTTGGTGCTAGGTCGTTAATGCAGGAAATGGGTTTGGCGAGGGGTTGATACGTGGAATGGGCGTTGGTGTTTTAGAAGGACTATGTTGGAATTTACCGTTTTTCACCGAGGGAAAGGAACGCGCGAATAACCTGTCTCACCCTCCGGGACGAGATCCCATTAGTATGCACTTAATTTCCTAATGAACCGCATCGACCCGGGGTGCCGATGTGCAGCACTCGTGCACGGATTTCACGGACCACCTGTCGCACTGTGAGACCTACCCTCTCGGTGGCTCACACATTGGACACGCAGAGGGTAAAAACGTCACTTTTCATGGACCATTGCGAGTCGTAACGATCTGACGAAAACATTTCGAAAGACCTTCTCACCTTCCCCCTTTTTCTCACGAAACTCTAGCATACCCAGAGTGCATCGTAATTTAAGGTACCTAGGTGAACCAATTATTGCCACTTCCCTTAAATGCGCCAGTTTGCTCTCTATACGATAGAACGCATCGTCGGTACGTTTTATATCGAGATAAACAAATACAATGTAGATGCACTGAGCCGACAATAATGAAACATAAGACTGCGTTTCGTGCATTAAAATGAAGAAACAAAATAAATCTCAACGTGGAAACATTTCACCCTGTCAAACGCCTGCCTCAATAATAACACTTTTCAATAATAACACTCAAGATTCTCAGAAATACGGAGACACGAAACCAAAATTTCCTTAATTAATTTAGAAAATTATTCCTCGGCACACGAAACCACTGTTACCGTCCTAGGGGTCCTAGCTCGAAATTCCGGAAATATCCGCGTTCCCACGGGGCCCCTGTAATTAATCCCACATCGCAGGTGCATAACGCAGTGAAACATGTCCCGGGAAACATTAAATCGCGATCTCCCCCTGGTCCGGAAAAACACCCCCTGGTACCAGCTAGAATAGAAGATGATGGTCGTTGACCGGTATCTTCACCCTAGATTTCGAAAATATTCCTCGATATGGGTTTACGATTGCGGCTTAACGGCTGCAGGCAACCGCACCCTCCCCAGGCTGCGCCCCCTGGTCGCATCCCCTGAATGCCGACGAGCGACACCCTGACACGACCGGCGGTTCCATTCTGGCGACCTCGGCGAAGATCGGCGTTAAATTTCCCGGCACCCCTCGACTTCGGAGGCGGACATCGTCGGTTCCTTTCTACTCGGGGGGGTTGCATCGAACATACGGTGGGGATGCTCGGAAGATACACGCGGTCGGTGTCAGGAGGGGCTGACAAAAGCTGACCAGCGGCAAAGACATTCAAATGGTAATTCGCCGGCGTCTAATATACAGTGACACCGAGCCGGTCGACAGGGGTGCGTACACCCCCGACGCCGGGTCCGCACGTCCCTACGAGAATCAAACCAAATATTGGCAATATCATCCCCGGCATTGTCCCGACCTACCCCCGCCCGCCGGTGGGAACGATGTCCATTTGAATGCCAATCCCGATACCGGCCCAAGGATATTATGGGATTAGGTGGGGTAGCTGAGGAAAAAGGCCTGAGTGGGAGGGAAAAATATTAAGGGAGGTCGACGCTAGAAACGCCTCCAGGATCAGATCCTCCGTTGGTCCACTATATTCGGTTTACCCGTGCAGGATGTTATATCGACGCCAAGGAGATGCAGTCACGGTGACTTTGTGATAAACCCTGTAAAACTGTATATTCACAAGTACTGCAAAATTTAATATGGAATCATAAGAGACGCGGGAAAAATACTAGGTTTATAAAAATAGTAAAAAGAGATATGAGGTGGGCCAGCGAAAACATGTAAAGTGACGAGTTCACGGTATTATGGAACTTTTTTTCGTTGTGACAGTTTGGGATTATTCACGTAGGAATACTCGGCAAGAAATTCCGCGACGAATTACGAGATGTGAGAGGAACGATAGATAGAGGAAGAGCAACAGAGATTCAACAACAAGAGCGCGTTTATATGTCCCTAGGAATGCGCTATTTATACTGACAATATAGCTAATAATCCTGCGATCACACACCTTCAAAATAATGTCAGGAAGAGTGAAAAAAAATTAATTTAAATCAACGATATCATTTTTCTTCTCAACGAAATAATTGTTTCTTGCGATTATATATGATTCGGGCACCTATACATATATGTCGACATTATATATTTGTTTCAGTTAACTAATCTTTATTCTCGGTGCACCAAAGATACGTAATAGTCTTCCACGACTCGAACCCACACGGCCGTCTCAATAAGTTAATTGAGCTTGTATAATTTTCGTACAAGCTTTGAAATATTATTTAATAACGTTTCGTCGAGAAGGAGCCTTCATCCCGACGCGGATAAAGATCGTCGATTCGCGATGTTGATTCAGAGCATCACCACGTGCCCAACGTAGACGAACGCAAGTCTCCCCTGATCCGAACTCCAGCACGCGCCGCGATTACGCGATTACGCGATTACGCGTGTCATCTCTTCCCGGGACTGGGGTGCGCAATGCAGGAGAGAACCGTGGAGGATGCTGTAACGCGAGCAATGACGTGGAAGATTTGCTCTCCTCCCCTCGGCACACCACCGGAGCACCTTACCTTCGGAAATGCCCCCATCTGTTGGTGGAATGGACGTCGCACCTTCAAACTAAAGTCCACATCTACTTACATCTCTGTGTACCATATCCGAAACTTCAGATATTTATCAGAGTTACATACAATGATTATCGATCAAGTCCTAGTACACGTTTACTCCATTTAAACAGCGGAAATATACCTGGGACATATTTATATATATATTGATGTTTTACATTCTCTATAACGACGCTGTCCGTCTGACGAAATATTCGTCGCATGATTTGAAGCACCTAATATCAGAAAACGATTAAAGACGTCCCTCTAATTGAAAATCGTAGATTTCAGAAATGTCATTAGTTCTTAGCAAGGCCATAACTAGATAACCAAGGGTCCTGTGCCAGGTGTCAATTCTCATTTAAATATTTTTCATTGCATCTCAGGGCCCTTCTAGGGCCTTCCTTTGTCCTGGACCTTGGGTACACCTGTTGCAGGGGTACATCCATATTCCCGTGGTAAAATTTCAAACTAATCGGTACACTCGATTCGGAGAATACTTTCCTCGCCGATTTGACCACTCAGATATATATAGGCTGACTCTTTCATATCACCTTAAAAATCCCATTATATAACTCATTTACCGAAGTACTTTGGTGGGTAACGTTGCAACATTGTTTCAGTGGGTCCTTCTTCCTTCGGGCGATTTAACGAACGCCATTAATCACTGATCAACTGGCCCAAAGTGGGCCCATCGCGGTCCGCACCAGGACCTCCCACGTGCCGTGTTTTCCCCGGGAGGTGGTCGTCCACGGCCAGTGGCAACGTCCAATATTAAACCCACAGTAATTTATGTTAGCACGAGCATGCATAATGCTGTTTGCATAAAGGCGGCGAGGTCACGTGCCGGCTCGTGGCACCGGCGAACTGCAGCCCTTAATTCCAGCCGCTCCTCTCATTGCTCGTCGCTCTCGGCCGAGCGACATCCGAAATCCCCGACTCGGAGCGGAGGACGTGTGCGCGATTCTGCACGCCCTCCTCGCACCACGCGTGGGAGATCTTTATTGGCCTACACCCCGGAGACATTCACCTAACTCGCTTACACGACGGATTAGCCTAAACGGCTCTTAATGCGATTTTGCCCTCGTTATTTTAAGGTCCAGTAGGTCCCACCTTCCAAAAACACGCCAAGGACGAGGAATCCGTTAAACCGAGAGAACTGCAGGAAAAACTTCAAGAAAAGATAAATATTTATTAAAATTATTCTCTCGTCTAATAATTCTTTTTAACTTTTACTTGTTTGTTGGGGATATCCAAAATCTCAGAATGTCGGTACTCGTTGAGAAGATCCAAGTGACGCTTTGTTGGCTATATTATATTTTATCAGGACGATGCTTAAGGACCATGAGAAATAAATTAGGGTAAAATAGAAAAGTTATCTCGAGAAAAATTCGAAGTAAGGATGTAAATTAGATCTGAGATAAATTAAAATATTGAGCACCTAACAATAAGCCCTTTCAATAAGATCGGATGGGAAATTCTTGCCACGACTTTAGGTTAGGTCTTTACGACCGAGGAGTGGGTGGCCGGAAAAGAAAAAAGGGATGGAAGGAGGTCCTGGAAGAAACGAAGCTTCCATAAGTGGACAGCTCTGGAGATATGTGACGCGTGGCAGACCTTTTCATGAATGGAAAGTACTACTTTATGAATGAACCGATGCAGAAGCTCAAACCTAGAAATACATCCGCTGGAATCTGTGCCACGGATATCTGTCAGGACTTAATCTTGGAAGGAAACATTAAGACCCTGCACACCACGATTATTTTCCATTTTCGAGCGAACACGTGAAACAGTTTCTTTATTCCATCTTCAACAAAATTGTGTGCTTTAAAAATGTTGAATGAAATGTTAAATATATTGTGACAATCGCGTGATCACGTGTGCAGATCATGCAGTTGACTTCTCTCTACTCTGTTCGATTGGTCGAATGAGGTTCTTTTTCGACAATTGGATCGATCGATTTACACATGTTACACGTTTCCAGCCAGTTAGGAGTTTCTTCTTCTATTGACAGTGCGCGAATTTTTGTGAATACTAATTCTCCTGTTGCAGATAAATTCCCTCGAAATGTCCGTAACGGTGAATCTAATTCGCAATCCGTACCCCGTTCCGGATTTATCACGCGAAGGAGTCTGGCTGGCAAAGGGTCCTGTACTTGGGAAGAACGTTTCTCCAACCGACAGGAGGTGGTACTCCAGATTGAGTGCACATGAACGTCTTTTTGCCCACCATACATTGAACAGCGCCCGCAAGGATTATCGATTTTATAGACCAAAGGTAAATACTAAACGAAAGATTAATTAGACGTTCAGCTGTGAAACAAAAATTTAACAATAAATGAAATTAATACTTTGACGAAATAATTTTTAAGGCTCCCCACGACGCTCTAGATCTGGCTTTGTCATCTACGTACGTCCACAATGATGACACCTTTGTGCCCAAAATGTACGTTCACATACAACCGGAGACAATGGGAAAAGAGACATGGCGCGTTCTTCGCAACCAAATTAAGGTTCGACCGTTTTATACTTGGATAATGTATCACGAAACCTTTCTATGGATAATCACAAACTAAGAACTAAATCTGTTAGATCTCTACTGAAAATTAAACAGCGGCTATTTCTAATTCATTTTCAGACTTTCACGAAGCCACCGCCACCATTAGGACACTCAATTAGGTACGGAGGTCCCCGGCGTTTCGAAGGTGACAAGAAAGATGACAAAAGGTGGGCCGAGGATCCATCCGACTGGAGAAGAAAGTACAGCTCGGAAAGAATCCACCCGAGTAGCATAAAGCTCGCCATAGAAGGACCACACACGGACCAAACCAATCCAGGATTTAGCAGGAAAATTGACGGAACTTTCTACTGCATCTAATTGTACACAACACTGACCCAACCGCACGATAAACTCGTTCTGAGGAACCTAATAAGAGACTTAGACAGAAAAAGTCAACAAAAGTGATTCTAGAAATAGTCCCATTTACCTGGACAAGTCTTAGGAAAAAAAAAAATTAATTTCCATCCATTCCACTCAATTTCATAGGAGCACACATTGCATCGCGATCGTGCCGGTTGCCGAAGAGCGAAGCTTTCTCGTATTTAAAGAGCCTAAAGAGGGTGAAGGTTAAGACCATAGGCTTTGGTTAAGCCTCGCATCGCCAAAGAGCGAGCAACCGAGCACCCATTTTGTCCGTCTATACCGGTCATTTGCCAGCAATCCGTCAAAGACCTTGTAAACAAAAGTTAAGAAAACACCCGCAAACACCTTGCACCCTACTCCACAGCACTCAGAGTGAATTTAACGTTAGATGCATCAATACCCTTATAAAATTTGTTTAATCTCAATTCTTACAATTATAATCAACGTAATTCTCGTGATCGCATTAAAGAGCACGTTAATATCCGAAGTATCCATTGAACTGTTATCAGTAACTCACGTTTAAGGTGTGAAACCGGTGCCTTGACTCCAGCAACGAGGGCGTGCAGTTATAATTGACACGACGGTGTCATCGGCCTTGTTCCGGCATCACTGCTGCCAATCCTGACGGCACTATCTAGATCGCGTTGACAAATTGACGCAGTGAATGTTATCGGACACGAAGCGGGGTGATTGGTGATCGGTATGGGTTGGGGCCAATGGGGGGGATAGTCGTACTCGTCCTATCCCGGTAGTTATCCTAGGAGCAATCTTGCAGTCTTCGCGTCTCGACCCCCGGTATGCGTGAGTCAGTGCGGAGCGTTCACTGCTCAGCGAAGGGGCAGAATGTCCCATTACCCGGTAATCCTTGTTTGTAATAAACCAGCACCCCGCTGCCTGCGAGCCGCCCCTCCGGACCTATCTTACCCGCATATGCTCCTCATGGAATATCATTTATGTCTCACCCCGTGCCCGTCCTTGCTCGGTTTAACCCCGACGCACCCTCTACTCGGCAGCCCATCCTTATACATACGCCTAATCCGACCATGATTGCACGGGGCCCTGCCATCATCCGCTCCGCACCCCGAAGTCTGCACCCTGCCAGACTTCTTCTCGTCTTCGACACCTGGACGACGACCGGGGCCAAGAAATTCCCCGATCGCTGCAGATCGAGATAATCGGCAACCTGTACCTAACCGTCGATAATGCCGGGTGATTTTGGAGTAGCATACCCTTATCGATACATGATCGATATACCTTTGTCTCATTTCATTTTTCCGGTGATACTCGATGCGATTTTATTATTGTGCCGCTCCTTAATAACAATGGGTTTTGTTTATACATTGTAAATTTATAACAATATTCAAAGTTATATATTATGTCAGTTTTTCTTACCGTTAACAGGGTACACGTTTCTGAACCATATCCCGAGAAAATAGCATATCTCTAGGAATTACTTCGGCAGACGGCGGAAACCGTCGGAGTGGATTGATTCGCCCCTCGGATTTAAGGGGTGTCGGTAGAGTGGTTCGCGGATCACCGCGAGGGTTGCCGCAGCGAAGAGGCCCAGATGCCCATCAGCAAGCCAACCAATTACTTGGCCGAATGCTTTTATTTCTATTTAACTCTTATTTAATTTACTTTTTACGGCCCCGTGCTCCGCTGAGCACTGTTGGCGGAATGGAAGCGAGGTCCCTTCCGACTCCGAGGAGGAAGTGCCGAGGTTCGAAACACATCGTCGCAGCCATTTCATCCTCGTGGCTAACAGCTGTTCATGACTCCCAATGACCCACGGAAAAAGTCCAAAATCCTGTAATACAACACGAGTCATTCCCATTAGTACGCCCCCGTAGTCCGCATAACTCTTCGCGACCAAAGAAAATAAACTCAAGTTTCTCGAGTCCATTGACATTACAAATATGAGAAGATCCATCTACAGGCTCGCATACATTATGCCGAGGTGCGTTGCAGCGCATCGCATTTGTAAAAAATCGGCATATATACGGATACATTGCGGCCCTCCCCGGTTATAATGTGCGCGGACGTTATATGGTTATAAGGATTTTATCTCGACTCTGGCTATTTATCCTAGCCCTGCACCATCTCTTCATGTGCAATCCCAGGTCCTGAAGTCGAAACACCACGAGCCGAAAACTTGGCAGCCATTTATCACCTCGCAACACCTTCGGTTCTCGACTCTTGTTCGACGAGCACCTAGCTTATGTTAGTTTCCCTCTGTTTTGAAAGAGATTCGAAGAGGCGTCCTTCCGTGGGTATCCCGAGAATAAATAGATTCCAGGTGGAATCTGGTGCAGTGCTCACGGTTACGTGCATTCCCCTTCGGCAACGACACCGACTCCTCCGAGGATCGGAATTGTTCGGCTCGTAACGCGTTCCATCCCGGAAGGAAGTCCTTGGGTCCCACCGCCAAAGACGCGTTGATCCCTTCGGGATGAAGCCGCCATTCCATCCAACTTGTTACGTTATATTTATCAGCGGGACGCACCGGTTCACCTTCGGAAACCGTATTTCCGGAACACTGGGTTCGGTTATTTATTTTCGTGCCAGTTGACAAGTTCCTTTAGTTTTTGCTGACGCGACAGCTATTCCATTATTGTTTTATTAAGAATAAAAAAAGTAATAAAGGGGAACGAAGAAGAGCCACCAGTCTGTATATCTGTCTCAAGTTTGAAGGGTACGTAGTTAAAAAATCGTGTAATTAGATTATTACAAGGATTCTGGCAGCCATCGATTGCCTGAGTCGAAATTTTCATCCTAATTAGAACCTCTAATAGCAATGGCCCGAAATGTTACATCGTACGCGACACGCGATAAATAACAATCCCTATACAAAAAAACTTATAAATTTAACAAATACTTACGACTAGTGATCGCCCAGGATGAACCCGAGTGTCACCAACCGATGCTAAAATAAAATAATAATCGAATTCGGTATTCATCCGTCTGTTTTAAGGAAATGAAAAATGGATGACGAGGACTCCTGATGAATCACTTGAGTCTGATTGAACTCCGAGCTTTGGGGCTCGAGAAAGCTTACTTTTTAATTTCTCTCCGATGCGTTCGCACGGCGAATGTTGATACAGCGTTTTAAAATAATTTTAAAACAACTCGAGAGAATGGCAGTGGGTATTTCATTGTTAAGTAGGGTGCGGATGAGAAGTGAGAGCACACGCGGTGTGGGAACAGAGCCGAAGCGTGTCGCTGTTTGTCTGCGACAATAGTTTCAAATCTTTGACAGCGACCATATGAAAAGGGGACCAAAGTGTTATTTCAAATGAAACTTGTTCATCTACGCAATTTTTTGTTTGAACATTTCTACATAGGATTGGCCGAAACTGAAGGGTTAAGTTAAACCTAAATTACGAGAGTAAGATAATTTCAAATTAGATTCCCAGATTGAAAAAAAAAAGAACATAAATTGATAACGGTAGATATGATTCGTACAGATGTAACGAAACACAAATGAATTGATAATAGAAGACATGACTCGCATGGCTGTAAAACACATGAATTGATAAAGGAAGACACGACTCGCACAGGATCAGCTGTAGAGCAGAAATCTCCTGGCTCGCAGCAGTTGTCCCTGACATTCGTTAATAAAGCGGTTCTAATAATAGGGAATGCGAGGACCGATAAACGTAGAAGAGAGCGTGCCGCGACAGTAACCTCGAGGATCAAAGTGCAACCCTCTGCGAACGAACCAAAATTACCTCGAGGGCCCTTACCGACCCCTGCGAGTCGACATAACCTAAGCGCGTGGGCCATCCACCCTGAACGTAGCTCGCTCATCGTCGCCTCAAAATCCCCGACAAAAATAACAGAGCCCCAAATCCCAAACCGAATCCCAAACCTGAACAGCGTTATCAGAATCAAAATAGATACATACTCCAGTAGGGTCATTGTGGGTAAGTGCACGACGTAAAATTATAAATTTGATCTCTCAATAGTGAATTAATACACATTTACTATAAAATCCTAAGTAAATTTATAATTTAATAACATCGTGTTGTAATTTGTGCAATTGTGAAAACATTACAAATTTGATATTCGAAAGTCATTCCCTTTGGAAAAAATTCTTGCAATCAAAAGAAGACTCCGATAGCGTCACTGACAACGTACCTGCTACTTTCCCGTGAGTTCCGGATGTTCGATACCCCAAGAATTGCAGAAAGATTTCTTTCAGCATTTAGAGCAAGGCAGTCTCTAAAATAATTTTCGAACATGCCCGGAACATGCCTATGTGAAATTTTTTTGTCTGCCGAAAAACCGTTTAACATCAAGTACCGATCAACATAAATTTATAACATACATTATAAATTTATTACACGTATGTACTAAATTTGTAATACACGTTATACATTTTATTTGCAGATATGTTATAAAATGTGTATACCACGTCCGAATAAAACATCCAACAAAAATCTTATGAAATTATCATATTTTCTTTAACAGTGTATCCTCTCCCATCGGGTCCCCGAAGTGTCTCGCAAAATGGCCGAGCCCCGTCATTACCCTCGCGCAGAAATGCCGAAGCCGGATGTGCACTTCCCGTCCCGTTCCAACATAAAACGGGCCCGCTCGTATCGTTATATCTTGCAGTCGATTTCCGGGGCAAACACAGGGCAGGAATTCCGAAAGCTTAAGACCATTAACGGGGCATTCTGCCCGAGATGCCGCCCGGGCGGTGTTTGCAGAAAATTCCGAGATTCCTCTCAACGCCGCGCCGTCGAGTGCCCGGCTATTCCTGCAGGAGTGCAAATATCGGTTTTGGGATCCCGCCGGGGGAGGAACGTGACGGGTCGCGATACAACGTTACAGCCCCTAGCCCCCGCACGTGGGAACCCGGGCACGCGCCCCAAAGCCCCTACGCGGCTCTCTCCTTCTGCGTTCCACGTCGAGCAAGAACGACGCCTTCGTCCATTGGCATCCCTGCCAGTCCCCGCGCGCCCTGCGACCCCCTGCCCCCCTGCCACCCCTGCGACGCCCTGCGACCCCCTACGACCCCCGAGACCTCCTGCGGCCCTCGAGGGCGAGCCCGTCGGACCGACACTCTGCGAGCCATGCACCCGGAAAATCTGACGGATATCATATCCGGGCCATACGCAACAATTACGAACATCCTCGTGAGTGACGTCCCTCGGCGTATTCCGCCACTTCGTTATCTGACGATTTTGCGCTCAGCCGCGCACATCGACGCGCCCCGTGCGCTGCGCTCATTGATATCGCGAGTTTCGTGCGGGGCCAAAGAGGGTTGGCTGACTTTTGGGTGTACGTACATAGTTTCATATTTAACGCGCACATACATTCTAGTTTTATCAAGAAAGGAATACTTTAGAATTATTTAATGAAGCTTCCTATAACGCGATAGTAGGGAAGGATGCGACAAAATTGTATCTCTAAGAAAGTCAAAAAATAAATCATAACGTGTATTCCCCGATATTTTCGGGAGGAACTATCCTTCGTACTATTATTTACTGGATTTCAAAACGTAATAATAATTCCGTAATGGATGTCCGGGAAAATAGTAGTTTTAGGAACTTGTAAATGTTCCGTTTTGTCCTTACATCGGAGAAACGTGGGAAATAACCCGGGGTAAAATGAAGAAGCAGGAATACGCAGATTGCGTGCCAGTTTATATTTGTCAATCGTACCTGGAAGGCCGGAAAAGAAATTTACCGCAACTTTATTCAAGCCAATGGCTCTTTCTCCCGATGTCAATAAGACGTATGTATGAAAGATCGGAATGTTTCCATAACAATCAGATGAATCCAATCCTTGTCTGCAAGTCCACAGTGTAAACAAATACGGAGAAGTTCGTCAGTTACATCGGAAACGAGAGTAAATGGGTTAAAGGTGGTCATAGAAGTGAGGCTCGTATTTCCACCGACGTTAAATATCAATGGGAGGCAGATGTGGCGAGGATAATTATTTCAAGAGAAAGCAGCTTAATCCGCAATACCGCGGTAAAATAACTTGCGGCATAACGTAAGCCGTTGTAAGTTATGCCCATGCTTCTAACGGAACGAATTTATGGAGCAGACGGGCAAACGTTACAGTAGGACGGCTAATTACGATTACCCGAGCTCGGGAAATTATTCGATAAGTTTGAGATCGATATATCGGCCAAGATTGCAAATTTAAGTATTTAAAAGCAATTCGAAAGTTTTCAGAGGAACTGTATACTTTATGCGACTAGTCATAAATTTAATAGCTCATCCAAAAGATTATAAACAATATACACGAAGTGACTTCCTAATATGAAGTTTATAACTTTGTCTACCCAATTTCGAAAAATTATAATATGATGTTATAAAATACTAAGCTTTCCTTAGAATTTTATAATAAATTTGTACAAGTTCGCTATCGAAATACGGAATTATTTATCATTTTTCTACAACCTTGTGTACCGAACTAACCTTATGAACTTTATAACTTTCTTTAACAATGTACCAACTCATCGCGTGATAGTAGGTTGCTGCGAATACAGCTAGCTACACGAATGATGGACGGGTCATAAAGCCTTATCGTGTTCCTCAAACACGAACGAGCGACCTCTACGGATGATATCTCTTCTCTCTAACGGCTAGGCAAATACGAGAAACGATTAATGCGGACTCGTTGTTGAGCACCGAGTATTTTTGCGTACCCGTCCTTCTTTTGTTTCCCGAAAGCTTTACTTACGTCGCGTCGGCACTTAGCAAGTACAGCGATTCGTAAATGAATCCTTAACCTTCCCTCCGCGACCTCCCTGTAATATAACATGTAATATACATGTAATATACATTTTACGTACATGTAACATTCATGTTACATTAAATGTCATAAAGAAATTCTGTAACGATTATATCGTTGTAACGGAACTTCGGAATCGAAAAGTCATTGACAAAACTATTTAACAGAGACCCGAGAACATCCCGCGGTATTATTTAAATTATCCAGCAATACATTTGTAAATCAGACGGAGATTTTCTCGCGAGAATAAATCGACTGCTGAAATGAAAACAGACACTGGAAATTCGGAAAGGCGGGTTTGCCCGCCAAAAGGAAGGTCGCGAATATCTTGAGCGACCTAATCGTTATGCACCAAGCCCGTAAGAAGGTGTGAAGCGAGCCACGTGCTTGGGCATCATATATCACGACCCCTTCCTTCTTTTTGACGAGGGTTGGTGCACGACGGTGGCGGGCAGAGAAGGGTAGTCTATGAATATTCTCGCTCGCCCCCGAAGGGAATGATGAACGAGACCGTACACCCCATGCCCCGTTCCCTCGACAGGGAAAGAAGCGTCTCATGGCTCGGTTGCTCTCATAAGGCATGCGAACTCGAACATCGGTTTCTTAAACTATTAAATCGTTTACCCTCGGTCCCAGTCGACCCCCAATTCATCAAAAGTAACGTGAAACGTTACGAGCTCTTTTAGCGTACAGTAGACCCCGTGGAAGAAGTTGATCGGGCGGAAATAAAGCAACGGCGTTTAAAGTCGGTACTCAGCTAGGTAACCGATAAGCCTCAAAAGAAACGAAAGATCGAACATCATTTTTCTCGCTCATTAAGTTATTGCAATCAGTGATTGTATCCATCGAAGTAAGAATAAATGTTACTAGCATTCATTGCCCTAATTGACCCAGTTATAGGCAGGTAAGGTCAGTACTTGAGTGGGTGTCCGCGCGACGTCGGCGTTTTGGTCGTGTGATTCTTTTCAAAATTTTCATCATCGGTACGCCCTCGGTTCTTTTAATAATTTAAGGATTCACCGGTACCTTTACGTGACTCCATTCTCGGGGAATGGTTTTTACCTCAATCCGATAAAGAAGAAGTCCGTAGAGCCGTACCCCGGGTGTTCAGTCTCCGACGGAACCTCGTTGGCTCGGTCACGCGTAAACCTCCCGCGAGTGAAGCCCGCCATCTTGATCTCCCAACGAACGCTTTGGACCTAAGGACTAAAATGATTCTCACCGAATCAATCCACCTCTTAAAGTCTATTACCCCTGATCAGTCCTCTGCGCCTCGTTCCTAACGTCCCATTCATCCTCCAAGCATTACCACCTCGAAACCCAAGTACTACATACATCCCATCCAAGCGACCAGGCTCGCGTACCCACACCTCAGAGGTTACATAATACCCAATAACCAAGGTAAGGTCAATGAAAACAACCGTGTGGCATCACAATCGAGGCTCTCGCGGCACAGAAGCATGGAAGCATCCCTTCTCGACGCACCGTGTCCCTCCGTCATCCGCCAGGTTAGGTACAGGGAGTCGCAAACTGCTCGCGCGAGGCTGGCGGCGTAACAAGGAGACCGGTCCACCAGGGTCTATGAGCGGACAAGTCGTAACCTGAAGAGACAACCTTCGGGACCTTGAATCGCGACCTTGAGAGGCACGGGGTCGCAGGTCGACAGGTGCGAGCCGTCCGACGGCAGGTCTGTGCCAAGTGCTCCGCTCCGAACTGCCTCGCGGGTCGAAGCGACCTGGCTGCCATGTTGGCCGCGACCGAGGCGCCGCCCCGCAGCCGCGCACCCATTGGCCGTGACGTCACGCGCGCGTGCGCGCGCACCTACTTTCGAAGGCGGAGGCATGTATCGCGGCCGCGGGCACACCGACGAGAGTGGCGAGACGCTCGCGGCGAGCAATTTCGCGGAAAGGAGTCGGAGGGTGTTTTGCCCCAGGCAGCAGGGGGGGACGAGGAGCGACTTCTCGAGACGGTGAGCGGCCTCGGGGGGAGGAGGGACGGAATGGGACTGGCAAAGGGGCGCGGAGGGGGAAGGAGAGCTTTCAAATCTTCTATTATGGACACTCCGCGAAAAAGGGGAAATCGGATGTAATTCGCGTGGTGATAACCGAGGGGTTCTATTTCATTTTCTTTTGGTTTATTTGCCTCGGGAAATAAGATGTTCTCACGTTGTAACGCCTTACCGTGGGCGTTTACTTTTAGACGAGGTTAAATTCTGAAGTATATTCGGCTGCTTCTATTGCAATTAATGAAAATGGTAAGGATTAAATTAAGTAAGGGAACAGTTGTGCGGTTGGCATAATCATATTTTTGGGGCCGAGTTTAAAGTCTGTGTTTGGAGATTGGTGTAATCGAGGGAAATTAATGTACATAGGTTTGAAATATATTTTCGTACCTTAAATTATTTTAATAGGCAGGGTTTATTAGGATAAGCGAGGCGGTATCTTGCATCCGAGGAAACGGGAAATATCAAATCTTTTGATCGGCTGTTCTGACAAGTTCTGCGACTCGGGAAGAAGTACATAGATACAGTTCAGCCGGGATTAGCGAGGCGCGAATCGAGCGGGAAACAATAAAGGCGCTTATCGCGGGTCGGAAATCTTTATTTCTATAATCCAGTTACTTAACGGGACGGCGGGGAGAAAAAAAAAAGTCGCCATTTCGTATCCGACGTCCTGCGGTATTTTAGGAATTTCGCGAGCTTAACACGCGACAAAGAACGCAGATGACTCGTCGGGATTCGGTTGACAAAAATATTTTTATCTTCCGTTTAGGCTTTGGTCCATGCCACTCCCCTCGATATGCGTTGTTTTTAAGGTGACGTAAAAGGCGCTGGGAAACTAAATCGTTATCAGTAAAAAAAAAAATGAACAACTTTCAAGAACTTGAAAGCGGTACGTTTTATTCCCTTCAAAAATACCATATTCATTTTTTAAGTCGATATCCATGAAAAGTACTTCCTCGCCATTGGTCGTTTCATCTCTAGAGACATTTTTATACGGAGAATATACATATATACATACTTACGCGTGTGCTGGGGGGCACGCATATTGGATGATGGGATATGTGAGGGAAGATAGGGAGGAAAAAGAAACATACCCCATTTACAAGAAGGGCACCGCTAGGGTTCGGAGACTTTGTAATTGAAAATTGATGGAGTGGAACTCCAAAGATGATGGGACTCATTACTCATTTATAAAAATGAGGGAAAGGGGGATATATCCTCTCGAGACTCCAAGACAGAACGTGTACTGGGAAAAAAATGTTCCGCCGCTATAAAAGAAATTCCTTCACCACATAATTCGGTCAAAACCAAGCAAAAGAAAGAACCACGAGGGTACAGATTCTATCACGACGTTCAATTAAAGCAAACCGCCCTTAATCCCGTCAGCCCGTCAAAACAAATACAATATTTCATTAACGGCCCTGAATAAGAGAAGCGAAATAAAATAGGGATTTTTAAAAGGGGAGAGAAAAGAGGCATCGCAACGGAAGGGAAACGACCGAGGGAGCCCAAAAGAGCTAGGACAACTTTTCACCCACTTTCCATGCGTCTTAAACCGGATTAGCCCTAAACGGAATTAACTTGAAACTGGAATTATCATCCTTAGCGGGCGACCACGGGGAGACAAACGGGGCTCGTTTGTTTCCCCCGAAAGAAAGCCCCGTAACTCGGTAACCAAACGATCCAATTTGTTAGAAAGTCGGTAGGCCCTTCGCGAATCCTCGGCCGATCGTCGCGTCTTCTCCGTGCACGCATGAATCACGGGGACGAGAGGCCCGGTCCTCCGAAAAATCTTTTAATTAAATTTCGAGCACTTTTCGACGAGGCTCCATCGGGTTGCGATTCGCCCCTCGCGAGAGCAGCTGCCCCACCACGGCGCCCACCCTACCGGTGGGGGATTCGCGGGACAAATGGGGGAGTCCCGGGGGAGACGGGGACGCAACGTGGGGCGCCGAGGGGAACCTGGGGAGATGGGGGCAGCGCTCCGCCCAGCCACGTGACCGCCGCTACGGGGTCTCGAGATTCTCCTCGAGTCTCTCATCCTCGCCTGGCCCAACCCTTGGAATGTAGCTTCCACCCTCCCGCCCGGCGCGAGTCTCTGCCTCTTCGGGCGGCTTCTCGACGACTTTATGCCTCATAAAAATGATATAAAATTTGTAAAGACGGGGGCGCCGTAACGACCGAACGGCTCGCGGGGGACGGGGGTGGACCTCGAGGAAGGAGATCGCGGGGTGAACGAGCGAGTCGGCAAACGAAATCGAAGGGAGCGTCACCCCGGCGTCCCATTCGCGGGGACAGTCGACGCTCGGCGTCGCGCGCACGGAGATAAAGCGCGGACGGTTCCCCGTCGGAATTCCTCGAAAATGGAGGTGTAAAACGTATGGGTTTTGTCGCGCTCTCCGCGTCTAGCCCGCCTCGCCGAATGGGTCCTGTGTTACGGTTTATTGCTGACCTCCTTCGGGACCTCGAGCGGGGGCAGGAAATTTCGAGATTTGAATTATTAGACGTCGCGACCTTTTTCTAACGCGGTATAGGTGTCGATCCAGAAATGTTAGTTCCGTTTTGAATCTAACCTAAGTAGATCCTCCTTTGTTCCTATTTCGGTTTTTGTGTCCTACCTTCGATCCTGCGTCCTATTTAATAGGAACTAGGGCCTACTTTGGGCATACGAGGAGAAGAAATGGAAATATCTGTCACATTTAGGACCTCGATTGTCCGGAAAGTACTCTTCATTGCGTTATCTCGGAGCCCGGTTAAGGCCTACAATTACAGGTTCTAAGTGGGATCAAAATCTCATCTGGGGTGTTTATTCGTCTTATCAAGGGCAATTCGCCCTCCGAGAACGGTCCGGGGGTACGACCTTAACTACAATTCCTGCACCCTGTCGTTTGTCAACTCCCTTCCAGTAAATCGTTCCAAGTGGACCACTCTTTGTTCGCTTCCGCAGCGTCGACACCGGAGCTTATCTGCGTGCTCGATACGCATCTGAAAAATCGAAATGGCCGCTTTAACGCCGATTGTTTGCGTCGACCACCGGCCAATAAAGGCGGTGCAATGTCGGCGGAAATCAAAGGACGTCGGTCCGAGATCTCCCCGGACGATATCGCGTTACGGCGACTCAGGGGAACGCGAATGCAAACTCGTGACGAGCCTCTTCTTCGCCAAGAGGCTTCGAGGACGGCCATATTGTATCTTTCCTTCCTCTCTTCTTTTCTGGACGGAAAACGTTTTTCAACGTACCGAACCTATCGAACGATCGTTGTATTCCGTATTGGCATAAACGATGGCCGAGTTATGTTTAACGTAGGATATCGGGCTCTTGCCGTTAAAAGTGTATCCATTCGGTGTCGATAAATGTCTATCTTATCCTTTTATGGCACCTAGGCAATAAGTCGTTTTATGGGCACTGCTCCTACGATACCGAGCAAATGGCAACTATAAATAATAATTCCCTCGTGGCGACAAGCCAATTACATCCGATATGAGTCGGTTAATAGGTGCCGGTGGAGTTCTTGTAACTCCTTGACCTAATCTTTTAGCTCCTACAAAATGAAGTTACATGTAAACCGCTTATATGGAATACCGAGGAAAGCGCCTGGGTTTTTTTGCACGATAATTAGCTCATTGCTTTTTTTTAATGGGACGAGGAAATTACCGAATAAATAAAATGTACGTGATTCGAGCCACGGAGTATAACTTTGAGATCGTTCAATCGAGTCATTCACAACGCGTTAACGTTGTAACGACTTTACAGCGATTATCGGTCAGTGCCAAAATAAATTGTCGAGACACTTAAAACGGTCAGTCTACCGATATGCCAGCCAGATACGTCAGTCTCTATCAGAGGATTATTCCTTATTTATGTATTCTGTATTTTGAGGAAGTATTTTTCGTCTGGATGACTAATTCTGGCTTGATAGGATATTATTACCATGCGCTGATACAAGAAACTGAACTTTTCCGTTTAATGACGATTGCCTCTATATCGCGTGTGTATTAACAAAGGAAATAAAAATAAGCGTGTAAATCTGACTTTCCATTTTTTTGTCACGTCGTCAATGGACGCATGTTGTCCAGGACGCTCTTGATCACGACAACTTTCATCTCCGCCATAAAATAGTTTATAAAAAGTGAAATTTCATAGGTGGCAGGACCTTTCTTATAGCCATTGCATTTACGTGGTAAAGTTTCATGAACGATTGACCCCCCAGTATGTCACTGTTACATCTCCTTTACGTCAGAGGTCAAATCAATTGTGCAGACCTTTAGGGGTGAACTTTCGTCCAACTTTCATACGTTTAATTTTATTACGTTTATCTTAAATTTTTTGGAACGTTCATCTTGATCGCATTCAACCCGAATCCGAAAGTTAAAGAAATCCCCGCCGCGGGTAAATCGGCGTTGCAGGGACGTTCCGTTCTGTCAATCGGCGCGTAAGCAGACGGCGGATATAATGACGACAGGCCGCGACAGCCCGGCGAATTTCCGAGCCATCGTATTACCGTCGACGCGCGTCGAGCCGACGATCAAAGAGCCAATAATCAGTGGCCGCACGCTGCCGATCCAGCGCGAGCCGCAAAGCCGGCGGCAGGTAATCCGTAATCCTTCAATTATCAAATTACAATAACTACACCGGGGCTGTCCGGCGGCGGGGCGCCGTCTCTCTCCCTTCCTCCCGTCTCTCTCGTTTCTCCTGCGGCCGCCCCGCCAGGGCGCCGGCACGCGTGAGGCCCGATGCACACATGCGTGTTTTTCCCGCTGCGGCGCCGCACGGCTGCACGGTTAAAGAATTCACCCCGTGCGGTGACATCGCGAGCAGTTCGGGTTGCGTTGTCATCCAAATTGGACGTTCGTAAGAAAAGTCCTATGGTTTTTACGTATTTACCATGGAAAACGTGCAAGCCGAAAGAATAGAAAAAAAGGTCCAATTAAGGTGGTATGAAAGTGTCATATATATATGTACCAAAAAGTCAAAATATTGATGACTTTTCTCAAAATTCGGTGCATCAATTGAAACTTTATCGCGAGATTATGGAGGCCTTAAGGAAGAACGTGATGCTTGGGAAATTTCACTTTTTGAGAAAAAAATGTCTATTTGTCTCGGACAAGAACCGAAAAAAGAAACTTTTTTCGAAAACTGACATTTCAGGAATATCGCGTTCTTCCTTGGGGCCTTCATAATCACGTGTTGAAGTTTCAGATAATTCGGTGGACCCAGTTTGGAGAAAAGTTGTATAAATGTTTTCACGCGTATATATGTATAGAATATCCCTTTGATAACCCCTTAATATCTAGTATGCCATTTAGTGCGATACTCAATATAATTCGACACAGCTGTCAATATAAGAACGAACGTCGGCAGCGTAGGTGTTTAGAAAAACCTGTTTTAATGACAGCGATCTTCCTTAGGGTAGCAGTTAAAGGAAAGCAGTCGTAAAGAAAATTCAAGTATTGGAGTAAGGCATTTTAAGAGCCATCGTGAAAAGGACAATGAAATCTGAATTTCGTGAGATTATTCGCTTCTGGAAAGTCTCCTTTAGCAGTTGCACGGTAATACCGATCGCGTAGATATAACGAGTCCCCGCGATGACCTTTTCGAGACCCGAAGAAAATATATAAAAACAATTGACGTAGAAAGAGTAATTGAATGTTCGAAGTGCCAAAGCCGTCAGCGGGCCACCCTGTAACTCAACCCGCAATTTCGGCGTCGCGCGGCAAAACACGCACGCGTTCGTCGGATCCGACGAGGAAGCGGTGCCGAGTTCGGTTCCTCCGGTCAAAAATCAACGATCCTCGGGCTGCGTCCCCACTCCCGACGGCAGCGCCCCTACCCGGGGCGCGTGGAGGCGCCCACTACGCCCCCGCTCCGCCAGGGGCGTGGCCCGCTCGTCATTTGTCTCCACTTCCCGGGAGTGGAGAGCCGCGGCAGGGTTGACGTATGTACTTCCCCGCCGCGAGCGCGCGGAGTGCTTTGCTTCTCCGAGTCTTCCGCCTCCGCCCCCAGGTCCCTCACGCCCCCACGGAACCATTCGCGCTCGGAGGAACGCGAGAACGATCCTCCGTCGAACCCCCTGTCCGTGGGGGCTTACCCCCCCGCGAGACGGATGCGCCACACTTATGCCCACTCCCCGGGAGAAAGTAAGTGGCCGGAAGTAGTGGCTGCGAATTAGGAGGCAGGGAGACCCGCCGCGCGGAGTGGATATTCGGCGGGTTTGGGGACTTCGCTCAAAGCCGGACAGATTTTCGGAAAATTCGGGAGGGTGGATTTGGGATCGGAGTTTGGGTTTTACGGGTTTCGAGATCACGAGAGGAAACGAGGAAACAAAGAAGGATGGATCTTCCCCGTGCAAGGAGTCCGGCTGATTTCCTTTTCTTTCTCTTTTGTTTCCAATAATTCAGGGTGGTTTCGAGCAAAAATAATGATCTCTCCGAAATTTTCGCTTATAAAAATTCAGACCAAAGAAACGTTTTTGAATCCTGTCGATCGCGTCCCTCGGACGGGGCCCGCGCCCCCGGGTCAGCGGGAGGCGATTTCGGAGCGAGTCCGGTGAGCAAAAATCTGTGCCTCGGACGGGCGCGAAGCGTCTCGGCGGAGTGGGGGAGCGCGCCGGGGGTGGCGCCGCGCGCGCCGATGGAGGGGAGTATCGGCGGTTCCCGTGGAGCGCCTCGGGGGGAGAGGGGAGTCGGGGGAGTCGGGGGGCTCAGGGCGGGCTCGGGGCGGGGGGAGAAAGACCGGGGTGCCGGGGAACAGGAGAGGCGGCAGTCGGACAGTCAGGCAGGCCGCCCGGCAGGCAAGCGAGGAAGGCAGTGCACTGCAGCCAAGACCACTAGATCCGCTCGGCTTACCCGACTTACGGACTTAAGCCGGCAGGCAGTCCGAAAGGCTCAACCCGCTAAGCCCGGCCGACCCACCTACCGCCGGCGGCCACTCTACCTACCGCCTCCGCCGGCTGCTTCCTCCGTCAGCGGAGCGCCCTGGAGCGCCCTGGGCCGCCGCCCGCCGCCCGCGGCCATGCAAATCCGCGGCGATAATCCGACCGTCGCGGACGCGCCGGCCGGCCGGTGATCGATAGGCGGAGGACCGCGACCGCGAGGTGCCGCGCACCCTGGGTGGACCCCCCGCGACGACCGTTGACCCCGAAGCGGCGCGACGCCCAGTGCCCCGGAGCCCGAGCCGACCCGACGGCGACGGATGCGAGCGCCGCGACGTCGAGCCGCGCGACGAGCACCGACCGGTGGCAGTGGGACGGCCAGGTGTCCGGGACCGTCGGCACGACGTTAACTTTCCACAGCATGGACCGGGGCGGCGGCGGGGGCGGCCCCGAGCTCGTCGGCGGAGGCGGCGGGAACTCGGATCTCTGCCTCCAGGACCTCGTCACCGGGTCCGCCTCCGGACTCTCCGTCCAGCACCACCAGCACGCCGCCTCCATGGCCGGCCTCCACGGCGACCACCTGCAGGGCTCCATGCACCACCACGAGCTGCACTCCGGCGGCCATCACGACGCGCCCATGCACCACGCCGCCTCGCACCAGCTGCTCTACGAGCCGCTCGAGAAGCTTAAACGTGGTGAGTCGTCCACGGTACCGGAACCCTCCGAGCGGTTCTCTTCGGAACTCGTTCCTCGATCCGGGGCTCCCTTCGCGGCTCGTTCCTCGGAGCTTCTCCTCCGGGGAACCATAAGTCATCGAGCTCGGGACCCGGACACCTCCTTGCCTTATCTCGACACTCAAGTTTATGGCTAATGTGTCGACCAGATAAAGCCGCGAACTGGCCGGCGTTGCCCGATTCCGTTGGCGAGGTGCGCCCTGGAAAAAATTCCACGTGCAATTCCCCTCGACATTAGGTTGCTCCAGATTGTACTTCGGTGTCCGTCGTTTTACCCGATTCGGAGCTGGCAGGGCCGAGGAGAATCTTTTGTACCGCGCAGGGTCGGCGTTGGGCGATTAATGCCGAAAAATTCCAATTTTCCGGCAAACGATGGATTGTCCCGTCGCTTCCTCCTGTCGTCATTTCTCGCCGCTCATATCATACGACAACGGGTCCCTTTTATTTATTACAATGATTATTTTACCGGGAGAGAATACGTTACTTTTCTTTGTCTACTATTTTTGGGGAAGATATCGATATTGCGTTACTCGAAATTCAGGTGTCACGAGGTTTCGAACAAAAGAGGAGCCCCGTATCGGTCGATCGAAAATTCTGCACTGGTGAGTCCTTAACGCGCTTAATGCCAAAGTCAAATCTCTTTTATTCGTTAACACGTGTTTTCTGATCCCCGATCGAAGATCGAATCGGATCTGATTAAGCAAAATCGGGTATCGAGTTTCTATTTAAATCCGTTCTCAAAAGAGGGTGGCAATCTACGATTCCCTTTCAGACCCCAGCCCACTATTGGAAAGACGGATTTTATTTCCGTGGAAGCGTATGTGTCGAGGAACGCGTATTTTTCTCAATACGGTTTCAATCGGTGCTGATGTACCGCGGCTTATCGCATATCGATCACATTGATCGCTGGCGACCGAGTTGAGAGTCTTGAACTTTGCCCTCCGAAAAACGTACCCGATTATCGACTGGATGACTGGCTTCGTTCACGCCTCCAATAATATTGCCTCTGACGAAAACGGTGACGAACTTTTGCCCGGAATCCTCCGGATCGATCTTTAAGCCGAGGAGAAATCGCGCAGAGTGGATACGACTCTGTTAAGGTGAAGTGAAACGTGCCGAGGAACTTGATCGACGTCGGTGAAAAAGATTTTTCTAAATACCTACGTTGACCATGTTCGTTTTTATATTAACAGCTGTGTCGAATTATATTCAGTATTGTACTAAATGGTATATGCCATCTGTCGTTTTCGTACAATAATTATAAAGAAATCGAAGTAAACCTCCAGAAATCCCCTGAATGCATGGTTTCTGAGGCCCTAATTGACTGCAGAGGGATACCCTGCGCCATCTGTGATTTCCATGTCAACTAAATTTTCATTCCAAAGCCTCATATTGTCATCGTTTTAGCATAGAAGCGCAAAGAGACTTTTTTTGCCTTTACCCCGTGCAAATGCGAATTTCTCGATTAGAGTGTTCTTAATTGTCGTACAATTCTCCTGACCCTTTCGCTTCTCATATTAGAGCTTTCAATAATTGAATATCATTTGAAATATGAGAGCTCGACGTTACTTTGATTCTGGTCTGGGCTAGGTTAACAATTTTTTTTTTTCAAAAATACAAATTTTTAAACGGTCAGGATGATTTCTAGGTGCTCATGAGTCATGTGTCAATGTTTCGGACAGTTTTATTCAATATTCTTGAAAAGAAGTGTTTTTATTAGTGAGTTTATTAGAATGGACTGATTTGAGTGGAGTTTCACTTCACCTTAACATTAATGTTAATTTTACTAGTGCTCCAAACGGAGGGAGAATTCCTCCTTGTATTATCGGCTTAGAATCATTAACTTGACGATTAAAAATTATTATGATGCGGGGACATAATTTTTTACTGTCTCAGAAAAACGGTTAGATGTCTGAAATGTAGAGATATAACGTATGCTTGCGTTTACGGGAACGCGTTTCTAGATGACGCGTCGTAACGACGCCGTACGTATTTTTTCGTGTCAGGTGTTAGGCAGGTACAGATAAAGTTTTTCGTGTGAATAGCTCGATAAGCCCCACGCCCATCGCTTTATTACACTCGTAGTAGAGAGAAGGCTTGATAACATTTCGGGAAGCTTCCCGTGTCAGCCAGCATTGGGAAACCTCTGCTTAAAAATATGTATAGTTCAGCCGAATTCTGGAGTAACGCAAATTCGTCGCCAGATATTGCCCATACCGGTATCGCTAATTTACGTGAAGTAAAATGATACAATGATGCACTAGGTAATTAGATGTCTCGTTACGTTTAAAACATGCAAAAGAAAGAATCTTTAGAACCACATGTCTCGTTGATAATTCGTGGAGTCGGTTAAACACCTTCACTCAATTTTTTGCTTTAAATTTGTACCGTACACGAAATCGCACGAAATACCCTTCTGTAGGTTAGTTCGATCGGACTTCTGTACTAGAAAAGTAGAGTACAGAGAGAGGGTTCAATAAGGAAGAGTTTTACGCCCTTGCACTGAGAAAAAGGATTATTTTACTGAAACAAGTATATATGACACATATATGGTTGTCTAAGTCATATATAATTGTAAGGAACATTTATTTTGTTGAGAAGAAAAACTAACGCCGTTGATATTCAAACGAATTTTGTTCACTCAATCTGACATTTTCGCGACATTTGGCGAGAAAATGTCAGCCGGTTTTCCCTTTAATTACTTATGTCAAATATGGGTTTATCGCAAATTCTCTTAATTGAGAAATAAATATTTATCAAGTGCCGAAGTGCTGATGTTCGGCGTTAAGTGCTAGGTGCCGTTCGTGCAAGCTACTTGTATGCATTTGGCGCGAAACTCTACCGAGTTTCCTGATCCTCGGGCATTCGGCGAGTTTTAGTTGAATCAGAGGAGAAAAGAGTGTAAAGGTTCGCGAGATACGGGATTGGTATCCGTAACCCGGAGAGCACGGAGGCTGGAACTGGAACTGGAACTGGAAACGGAAACGGGAATGGGATGCCATTGGAATAAGATCGGGTTTAGCCGCGGTGTCGGGTTCGAGCCCTGGATAAGTCTACCTTATCCCGATAAGCCGGTGAGTTAATGAATCACAAAACAGGTGGCGGCGTCCAAGTGCGAGCGTCTTTGTTCGCGGTTCGGCCGAGAGTCCAATTCTTTTCCCGACTCGGCGTTTTAATGCGAGCATTTGCAAACTTATCGGATAGATTCCGAAATCGGAGCCGAACGACACTTCGCGAATGACTTTCCCAATTTTTCTCCATTTACGCGAGAGATCGAAGCCACCGCGCGAGGTGCGACTTCGCGAAAAGGGGTGGTTTAGAAGAGGCCGGCGGGTGGATCGTAAAGGATATAAAGAACTATTCCTCCCGCTTTTTTTCGACTCCGCGGACGGGAAGCAACTTTGAATCGGAAATCTCTTCGATAAAGGTAAAGGATTTCTGCATTGGGGATTGGACATTTTGAGAGGTATACAGGGGGTTAAGGAATGGTAATTACGGTTAATACTTCTCCGGCGATCAATAAGGTCGTAAAGTGACGATAAGATCCCGGTAATTGAACGCCTTCGCCGGCATGAAGTCGTACGGTGAATCTCCGGGGGAATTGAATTTTCCACGTCATGGAATTATGATGGAAGCGCCCTTAAAAGTTCACCCGTAAGGTCTATCAACGAGCGTCTTGAATAAAACGATCTCGTTGCAGGATCCATCGGTGTACCGTCACTCGGATCAGTAACCTCCAAATGATTAGAAACTCATTGAACTGCTTATAAATATTTGTCCAATTTCTTTTCTTTTTTTTTCTGTAACATCTCCATAATTCTTTTAGAACTTCTCCCTTTCAAGTTTTCCCACATAAGGGAAATTACTATCAGCCGACAAATCGTTCAATATACGATAAATGCCGATTCGTTTGCCGAATGTTATTTAACTTGGATAATTGGAATTTTGAAAATTAGACCGACGGGCTTTGCAGGTGAATAATTCGTATTCTGAAAATCATCCCCACGGGTTCAGTAATTCTCTAGCCTCCGGATCAGGCTCAACCCTTTCCCGAACCCAGGAATTAGACGATGAGCTGCGTCCAAACGCTAACGGGGTTGGAATTGTGAAAGCCAGGAATCGTTTTCAGGGCTCGAGTAGCAGATCGAATTCCAGTTTCCACCCTCGTAAATCCCCTGTATGCGCGATTGCCAATATTTTGCCAACAGGGTGGCATACGGCCCGTCCCGACCTTTTCCTCCCTCTCCTTTCTCACACCGCGGAGTCATTAACTACCCCTTTATTATCGTGCAGCCTTAGAAACGACCGGCAGATGCGACCGAAGTCAACCCTTGTGAGTTTTGCTAATGGTGTTGACAAATTGCTCGGCTGGCCGTTCCTCCCTGGGGAGGCGCCGTGCTCTACCCTTCGGTCCGCAAACTTATAGTCATTCGGCCTCCGCAGCTTCCGACACTAAACTGGCCCATCCCCGAAGAGAGGAAGTCAAAGGCTGCTCATTCTACCCTAAAGGGTGGAATATCGCCAGGCTTTCTCTGCCAATTCCCTCTATATTACATTTTAACGTATAACGTAGTGAATTAGATGGCAATGAGTGATCTTCGTATAAGCGATTCTTGCTCTTGGTTGAAAAAGTGTTTGGGGCAAAAATCGAAGATCAATTTCTTCAGAGCTTGAATAACCCTGGCTTTCGCCGCCTTTCATCCTTTCGATCCTGGCGCGAGAGGAGGAACGAAGTCGCGCCTCTCGAGGGCGATTTTCCGGTTCGATCTCCCCGATTACCAGCCTCATCGTCAGGCTCCGTAGTCGCGGGGTGTCGCGGGATCAACATAGAAATGAACTGATTTCCTTTCCATTATCTCAGCTGCCGCTGCGGTAAGGCAGGTCCCTGTCGCCGTCGGTGTGTACGGTGGGCCTCGGTTTGTGTATTCAGTGGGTAGCTGCGAGAGAGGGTGTCGGACCTT